ATCCTACTATTGGGGGGGGGGGGGGTCTTTTTTTTGGGGGGTCCCTGATTCTCGTACACTGCCAGGTGGCTTGGACGCCCAAGTTGGGGGATGAGCTCTCCATCAAGGTCTCCTCGCGTGGGCCGACCGGTGAACTTCTCGTCCAGTCACAGAAGCTTCCGGTCCGCTTGAGCCCCTATGAGGTGGAAGTCAGGACATCCGCAGGTCTTGCGGGCGTTCAAGGACCCCTTCCAGAACAAGACTTCACAGTCTGGGTGGAGTTGAAGGCAAACTTCCCGGACGAGAGTTGGGGCATCTCAACTGGTCCGGATGCTGCCAAAGTCTTCCTGATCCCCTTTCCGGTGGATGCTTCGGGCATACATGGGCAAGGCAGCTGCATGGATTGGGTGCACGTCCAGGCGAGGAAGCAAGCCTTGACCCCCGACAGCTTTGTGGATGAACGGGTGTGTCGGGGTGGGATCTCCTTGCACTCCCCAGCAGTCTGCCAGTTTAGGATGCCTCAAGTGGACAAGTATGTCCTCGTCGCACAGATTGATGTGCGCGGAAAAGCGGGCATGCAGCTTATCTATGGTTGTACCTTCGTGGGGCAGACAAAGAAGGATTGGAGTCGCCGACCAGTGGCTTCACCAAACATCTTCGAGCGCTTCGAGGTGAAGCCGAGCAAGCCGGCCTACGAAATCGGTGAAACCATACACTTGGAGGTATGGAACCCATTGGCCGTGAAGTCTCGATTGCTGATCTTATGGGGCGATCAGCCTGCTGTCCTTAATGTCGAGAGCGTCACCAGCAGCCAAACAGTCTCACTTGGCACCATGATGGAGCAAGACTGCCCAATGCCCCTTTGCCAGGTTCACATCTTTGCCTGCAGCACAGAAGACCCGAGCTCGATTTTCAAGAGTGTTCCGCGCTCTGTTCACTACCCCGACGCTGCACCCATATGGGCGCATCAGGAGGTGACGCTAAACATTTCCCGATCGCACAGTTCCTTAAAGGTGCATGTGGCTCCGCATGCCGCCATCACAGCTCCTGGTAGTGATGTTGAGATCGAGGTCAAGGTCAGTGGGGAGGGTCAGTCAGAGATGGCAGTGATGGTGGTCGACAAGGCTTGGCTGGACCTCCGCCCGTCGAAGCTGCAAGATCCCTTGAAGGCTTTTGAGCCCAGCAAGGTCGAAGCGCGCGGACCCCGCTGGCATGTTGTGACCTCCCTTGATGGCATCTCCTCTGGGCAATCGCTCCACAAGGCCGGTCTGTTTTAGGGTTTAGGGCCTTTAGGGCCCTTAGGGTTTAGGGTTTAGGTTTTTTTGGGGCTTGTTTTGGTTTTCTGTGGACGGCAGACCCTGTGGGCTCGAACCCTCCTCAGCATGAAAGGCAGACTCAGGCAAACGGCCCCTGAGGTGGATGGGACATGTGCGGCTACACTTCGCTCCCGAACCAGCGAATGCCCAAGCTCAGGGTTGACATGATCACGTGATAACCTGGCAACATCATAACAGAAGAAGACCCATCTGACAATGAAATAACAATAACAGCACGGGAGCTACCCTAATACTCCGCCAGGCCACCCAAGTCGTCCGGGAGCGGGTGGAGCAGAACCCATGGATGGGCTTCCTCAGCTGGCCCATCTCCTTGCGGCGCACAGACGAGTCGGCGCTGGACGATGATGACTACCTGGAACGCTGGGGACAGGCACTGACGGAGTTCCCTCGGTCACCCCTGGCTGAGGACTTTGCTGCCGGGAGCGGGCCATTGATGATGGCAAAGGGAATGGCCGCACCCATGGCTCTCATGGAGAGCGCTCCGGTGCCAGCTACATCCGATGCCGACAGGACACCAGAAGCTCTGGAAGCTTCAGAGGGGTCGGGAGTGGTGCTCCGGCAGCGGTTCGCCAAGCTGGTCGCACTGAATCGAGCACTACTTGAACCTGGCACCAACTCCTGGACAACTCGAGTCCGGCTACCTCAGGATTTGTCCACGTACGTGATTCGGGTGGTCGCAGTGTCCCGCGATGACAACGGCGGATGGTCTTGGGGGGCCGCCGAATCCTCTGTGCAGACTTCGCAGCCCGTGTATGGCAAGCCACTGCTGCCAAGGATCCTGCGCTTCCTGGATGTTTGCCGAATGGGCGTGTCGATCCAGGCTGCAATGGTCGGCGAAACGTCCCGCGCCCTCCTCGTGGAAGCTGTCAACGTGCAGAACCTTCGACTTCTAGATAAGGCAGAGCAGCCGATCACGATGACCTCAACCTCGACCGAGGTCCGCTTCACCTTTGCATCAGACGTCTCTGTGGGTCCAGCGTATGTCGTCTTCAACATCAAGGATGCCAGGACAAAATCCGTCCTGGATGCTGTAGCAGCACACATCGATGTGGAGGTGCAGCAGCAGGGCGTGCGCATGGCCTCAACGACAAGCATCAGGGCCAATCCCTCGCAGAGCTCCGTGCGCAAAGAGGCGGTTGCACCTCTAAACGCTGTTCCCGGATCTGGTGAGATGTCCTTCTCGGCGTCTGTGGGTTTTCAGGCCCCTCTTCTCGCTGCCTTGTTGGAGTTGGCACCGAGATCCTACGAGCAATGGCAGCCCCTGGGCGAAGACATCCTGGCTTTGCTGCTCGGGGGCCTCATCTTGCACGTAGGTTATGGCCTCGCGGCTTCGCACGAGGGTCTTGCCGCTGCCATAGCTGCCGCTGAGGAGAGGCTGCCCAGGTACGTTGTGCCAGGACTTGGAATGGTGAATGCACCACCGGAGCAGCGATCCGAGCAGCCCGAGCAGCGACCCCATCTGCTCCTGAACAGCCTGGCTCTGCTCACAACGCGCGTGGCCCAAGCTCTCGGCCTCGTGCCGGTAAGCTGGGCACCATTGGATCAAGGAGTTCTTTTGGAGGCTGCGCTGAAGGCTCTGCAGAAACAGCAGGAAGACTGGATGAGGTGCTGCCTCAATGACATGTCTTTTGTAAGCTACATCGGCCAGTGGCACCTGGCCATGTTCTTCCTAGCACATCCCCCTGCACAATCCAGGCAGGATCTTCAACCTTTTTGGGAGGAGCTACTTCGCACAGCCATCACCGGTCCTAAAGGCAGCGAGCTGGACATCCTGACGCGCATTGCCTCAGCGGAGCTACGCCGCGGCCTGCTGCCTGCCTTTGGCGCAGACCGTCGTGCCTACGTGACGGCTGAAGCTTTGGTGGGTCGCATACGAGTGCAGGGCCCGACCGCATACGTTGCCGAGGCGGAAGGAAGTATGCATGCTGCCAGCCGGTGGATTCAGTCACTCTCGCTGTGGCTTTGGTCCGGCTTGCCAAAGTATGCCGAGAATCCCATGGCCCCGCTTGTGGCGGGCCAGCTTCTCTCGACCGACAGGAGCCCGTGGCAACGCAGCTTGCCTCCCAGGGACCTGATCATGGCTTCGGTGAGCCTTCTCGCGTTCGATGCTGCATCAGGCTCTTCAAGTGATGCAGACATTCCACTTCAAATCATGGCACAAGCCGACACCCTGCTCAACGTCGAGCTTCGGTCGACGCCTCCCAAGCTGCTGACAGTATGGACGGCCTGGCCATGGAGTGAGCTTCCAGACACGCTTCCAAAGAGCGGCATGGACCTGGAGATCCAGGTTGGCCCGGGCAGTGGCCTGGCCATTGTGAGCTATGCCATCGACCTCATCCCCGTGAAGCCCTTTCTGGAGCCCCAATTCAGAGGCATCATGGTGCAGAAGATCGTGCAGAAGCTCGATGCCGCTGGCCGATGCCGTGGACCTGCGGTGCACATTGCAGAACCCGGACAGCTGCTGTGCGTCACCATTCAGGTAACAGCTCCAGATGATTTGCACGAGGTTGAGGTCATGGACCTGGTTCCGGCGGGCCTGGAACCTTTGGACGATAACTTAGCTGTGGGGGCAGCCGTGGCTGGCAAAGATCCCTCAGGTGACAAGGACTTCTTCTGGGGCCTGCTCTTGGGCCGATCCTGGCAGCGAACAGTAAGAAGAGATTCCGTACGCTGGCAAAGCGCATACATGTGGGGAGGCACTCACACATTGTACTTCAACTGCATTGCAAACGCGCCAGGTGTTTACTCCTTGCCCGCGGCGAAAGCCCAGTCCGTAAAGTTTCCAGAGGTGATGGGTTTTAGCGGAGCTGCCTCATTTCTGGTCGAGGACACTGACAGTCCGAATGCGGTGTCGGTGCCCATGCTGCAGCAGTTTCGCAAGACGGTGGGTGAAGCCTACCAGGTGGACCTTGGACTCCTTGGAATGGCTCCTGGCGCCTCCATGCCTTTGGCATGCCCACAGACTTGCCCTGCGGCTGGCAGCTGCAACTTGGCAAAGGGCATCTGCGAATGCGCCTCCTCCTCTGGAGATCTCCTGCCATGCGAAGATCTCTCCTCCCAAACAACCCATCCAGAAGCACGCTACCAGGTGCCCAGATCGCCAGCAGGGCCAACAAGGCCAGCAGGGCCAACAGGGCCAGTGCGTCTCGGAAGCGATCCGGAGGCCACAGACACTTTGCACATTTTCCGATCCAAAGTGGTGGTCTGCAGTCTGCTGCTTGCCGTCTTGGCGGCCTGCATCTATTCCTACATGACAAGAATGAAGACCCCGAGGAACTTCGCAAGGATGGAGAGTTCGCAGCCCTTCGCGGCCGACGAGGAAGCGGCTCCGAGCGCAGAAGCCTTAACGGTGCAAGAGGACGCCCGACACCTCGGAGGAGCTGGCGCTCTGGCCGCCACCGAGGCAGCAGAGTGATGTGTCGTGGACATGTGTGACAGCAGTTTCACTCTGCCAGAGTTCCGAAAAGTTGTCTTGCCAGCTGTGTGCGAGTGTGAGCATCGAAACCCAGTGCGTGTCTCGCCTGGCTCTTCCGAGTTATCGGCGATGAGACCTTCAAAGATCGAACAAGCCGGAGCGACAGCGACCTGCCATCCAAGGCCTTCCTCCAGGCGCAGGGTTCCGGCTGGCTGCCTGCTCGCTTGAGCGGCATCGTCCCCAAAGAGGGTGCCACTTGGCCAGCTTTGCAAGGTTGGGCCAACTTGAGCCAACGCCCACTTGTCTTGGGATCTAAGGGAGATATCTCCCTTCGATCATGATATCATGAGATGTTTTAACATCATCTCTGCACCTGAGACGTTGTTCCAGGCCATTTCTAAGAGGGTTTTTGTGGCGCCAAGGTTTCGCAGTACCTGGAGGCTTTGCTTTGGTGCCTGGAGACTTACTCTACAGGCCCCCCCAACCAGGGCGGTCCGCGGCTTGTTTAATCTCGTGTAAAACTCCCAGGACGTGCAGACAGGGGATCAGGGGAAAGCAGTAAACGGATGGACTGCAATCAAACGCCATATAACAGGATTCCAACGACGCTGACTTGGCAGGCAAGTGCCCAGATTGCCAGCGACGGTTTCCTCCTCACCTGAAGGACCACCTTCGGTGGGAATGACTGGGACCTGACTGCAGCAAGCGGGTCATCCTCCCACATTGGAACCCTTTGGAGGAGTTTGCTTCCGCGTCGCTGATGGTCGAGGACCACCGTTGCTGCAGTGTGCTTGCAGAAATGGACAGAAGCCGTGACGTTGATCTTCAGTCCGATCGCCTTGTCAGCCTCGTGCCAGCGCAAAGGAGATGCCGGGGCTGCCGGCAGAGTGCTTCAAGGCCAGGTTGCGCTCCCTGATGGACGGTTTTCATGGTTCAGGGCCACAACGTGCTAAGACTATTCGGACGACGACAAGCACGAACTTCCAAACCCCGAAATCAGAAGCCCTGTACCAGGCGAGGCACAGAGACGGCCCGCCTTTGTCGCCTTTATGCTGTGCCCTGGCCGTCCTACCGGTGGCCGACGCGCTTCTCGGCTGTGCTGACAAATTCGACTTGGGGCTTCAGCGGCTTCAGAGTTTACATGGCTTATGTCTTCAGCTTGGAGGATCTCAGCCAGGAACGGCTGCAGGTGAGATTGCGGTGGGGCTTGTCGTAGATTCGTAGATGAATGGTGTCCACTCGTCATGCATTCCACAACATGTTCATGAAAAATCTTTCGTCGCTGCGAGTTCATGCGGGTCCTTACAGCATGCAGCATTGCCTTCTTTAAGAATTTTGCAGTCTAGCAGCTTTCCCCGAAAGAGCTTGCACATAGGCGGATGAGGAGCGCATAGCTCATATGCCCTGAGAGTCTGAGCACGCCTTTAGCCTCGCGAGGGTCACTACTGTCAGTCTGAGTTGCGATGGCTTGCTTCTAGGGAATCAGTCGTCAGGAGGAGATCCCGAGCGTTCCCCAGCCTTCAAGCGAAGTTTTTTTGAAACTCGCCGAGGCGGCGAGTTGTTCTCCCGACTTGTCCAGCCCTGGCACCGTTGCTCCAGGAAGGGGGCCTCCTTGGCGAGGACAGCTGATTGCCCTTGCCATGTTTTTTGAGGGGTTCTGGGAACCCTAAATCATGCACTTCGTGTGTTTGGTTCGCAGGTCGCCAAGCTGGAGTCCTGCAAAGAGTGCCGCCAGCTCACGGCCGCGGTGGTGGGCAGCTGGGAGTTGGGGGGTGGGTTGGGGCGGGGGAGGGGCTGCAGGGGGGGCTCAAGAATCCAGGACCTTTCAGCCAAACACAAGAATCCCGTCGAAAGACGAAGCGTGAGGGGACGGGGGTGCAATATCTTGGCCGTCGCAGTCTCGACGTGGCAGTAAGTAGCGTCGTCGTAAGATGTCTTGAGCCGAGAATTTCTTTGACAAGCCCATGACTGTTGGGCATCTGGCACTTTCGTCTGCTTCAGTGTTCTGGAAACCTAGTCTAGGATTTTATGGCGTCTGACAGGTGGGTGGCCCAGTGACGGGCAAGAAGGCCGCAAAGCAGAGGAAAGCTTTGGAGGCTGCAGCCCCTTGCCCTGGCTTGCTCGGTGGGACACAGGACCCAACAGCTCACGCCCACCAAGTCAAACCCAAGTTCGGACATCTGGCCCCTTTGAGAGGTGCACAAGCGGCAGCACCAGGATGTGGATGCGGCCTTTCGCCGCAATACAGCTATGCGGTAGCGCTGCGGTACAGCGGGTTAGTTCACAGAAGCTCGAGATCACTATCTGTCACTATCTCTGAATCTGAAGCCAGCCAGAGGTTTCTCTGGAGGCCTTGGAGGCAGAGGTGCGCAGACTTTGTGATGGTGCTGCTGTGCCGCCAGATGCGACGCTGCCATGCAGCCAAGTTTCAGCATCAACCCGAGACGGCATATTAATCTCCCTATAGTAGCTGACTCCGTAGCTGCCCCCCTTGCGGCTTCGTTTAGCTGCGCAGATGCTAACCTTTAAAATGCATACGCACAGTATGCACACACCAAGGACGCAGACAGAGCTGAAGACGGTCGCTCGGATTCCAGTATGGTGCGGTGTAATGCGGGGTAGATTTTTGCTCAAAATGTCAAGACAGCGCATGGCCAAGGTTGGGTCTGCGACAGAAGTCGCGCCAGCACCAAAGAAGGGTGCCAGCAGGCAGAAAAAACGAAAGCGCGGCTGAACACTGTTGGCAGACATCCATACGCCGGAACCGTGACCTGCACGAGACGTGGCTCATCTTCTGAATGGCTAGTAGCGGCTACTCATGCCGGCGCATGTGACAATATGAAACAGAAGCACGCACATGTAGTTGACATAAGGTGGCCTCGGCGGACTGCACGCTGCTCTTCTCCATTGACGCGCTGCAGACTCAAGTGGCATGATGTGGCATGGGCACAGGACGCGCTCCTTGCTTTGCTCCAACCTTGCACTGTCGCTTGCATGTCCGTTCTGCTGGTTGAGCTGGAGCTTCGCCAGTCAGGGTTAACTAGGAGGGTCCAAGGAGCATCAAAAACCACAGCATGGACAACGCCGCCCTTGTTTGAGACTTCCTGGAGCCAAAGGGCTGAGATGAGCTGAGCGGGCTGACCATGGCGCGTGCGCGCCAAGAGAGAAAAGATGTCTGGCACAAGGCTTGGCTTCCGTCCCTTTGGGACGCAAGAGTATATATATATGTATATATATATATATATATTTATTTATTTTTTTTGTGCACAGGCACTTCTACCGGTATCTCTAGTACTCGTATGCATATGTGATCAAATGTGATCCTCTCGGCTGCTGGTGCCACAGAATATGCCATGGCTGGTCTGAGGTGGCCGTGGAGATGGGACCAATGTCTTCGGCTCGCGCCTCATGGTTTAGGGCTTAGGGTTTAGGATGGTCCCACTCAAAAAAAGCAAAGCACGCCGCTTGAAGCCGCTGGCAGGCTTGGATTGTTCTCTGCGCCCGGGTCTGAGGAGCGTTTTCATGGGGAGGCATCTCCCGTCAAGTGACCAGAACACCACCATGACTTGGCATCTTTTCGCGCAACGAGCGTGTGACATCCTGCTCCACTGGAAGCTGGCACTGCAATTTCTGAGATCATTGCTGCTGCCCAACGATCGAGAGTTCTTTTTGCTCTCGCAATCCTCTACCAGGGCGACTGCCTCATGTTGTGGTTTGATTGGCACAGTGGCTGCACAATGTGGCTGTCAAGTCAAGTTCCCATGACAGTTTGCCGCCTTGCAGGCTTGGTTTGCGGCCTGTGCAGATACTTGCCCCGAGCCAAGCAGGGGCAGGGCTCGGAATTGTTCATGAGGGGAGGTTTGGGCAAACTCTGGGCCTGTGCCCCATACGCCCGTCCTGACACGCGCCACCCAGGGCAAATACAAAGCCATACCTCTTCCTCCTCGCACACCTGGTGGCGGCAGTCGCCCCCTCAAGCCATGCTTTCTAATCTTGGAAAGTTTGCGAAGTCTAGATCGAGCTTCTGACACCCTTAAGGCTGGTGTGCTGGCCATCTGAGAGTGCGAAGAGCAGCCCAAGTCGGAAGGCTTGTATTGATTTGCGCCCCCTTTTTGAAAGGCTGGTAAGTATAGACAGTATGAGTACGTCGTGCTGCCCAGGGCTGGGTTTTGTGGATGGTGGTTTGGCGGTAAAGGCACAAATGTCTCCTGCAGACCCGGCACTGGTAGCATGGCAATTGTCCCTCAAATCTTGAGGCTGCATCTAGAGTTCCTGGTGCCAAACTCTTAATTGCTCCCAGGAGTCACGCGACACGTGTACCCTTCAGTTAGACCTGGCCCCGCTTTGCGAGTACGGGGTTTCCGAAAATAAGGGTACCCTTTTTGGGGGTTCAATCAAGGGGTACCCCTAACTTGGCAAATACCCCTCCAAGTTCTTCCAAAGAGAGTCACCATGGATGTAGTGGAGGGTGAAAGAGTTGCAGGAGTCTGGGCAGCTGACTCAGCTAAAGCCATCCTTCCCATTCGGTATGGCAATTCACATGTCAGCACTTTTGTTGATGTGACACCGTGGCATTCAGTGAATGACGGGACACTGCTGTAACAGGAAGCGATGCTTCTAGTCAAGGCAGGATGTCTTGAGAGCACGAATGTTCTCAACCGTATTTTGCGGGCTTTCAACAACACGAACATTCGGATGATTCATGGCCTGAACAGGTCAAAGTTCTTGGTTTCCCGTTGCACGGCGCAAACTGCGATGGTAGTCTCAGAACCGATAGACCTGGATAAACTCGACAGAACTGCTGTTTTTTGGGGATCCTGGAAAACATGACCGACAGAACTGGACAAACTCGGCAGAGTAGCTGTTGTTTGGGAGGCCTGGGAAAGCTTCATGACGTCAGCGAACCCTTGCAGACAGGGGTGCTTCTATGTTTCCTTGCTTGGCACGTTTCGTCGATCCGATTTCCTTCCACGTGTTTTTGCATATTGAGGGGCACGAGCAGCCGCAAACACAATGGACATGCATGCGCAGTTGTGCGAAGGGAACGAGTCGAATTTTCTGGAATGTTCAGAGGTTTTGGGTGGAAGTTCCCCATCTCGGCCGACTCAAGAAGGGATCAGCAGGCACCCGTTCCACGAACTGAGAGGGGCAGAACTGGCTGTCGCAAACTTTTGCCTGACCAAGACAAGGTTTACGAAGGGAGCCTGTGCGAACCCCGGGAAGGTTTCACGAAGTGCGCCCGGTGGCAGTCCTGGGTCCCGCATCCAGCTGGCCCTCCTTATCATTTCGACATGCATATCTCCGCACGCCTTCCTTGTTCAACGTGAATGCAAGAGACTGCTCCAGAGCTCACCACCCTTGCAAGCTCCCCAAAACCTTCCAGAGCCTAAGCACTTCGTACGACGACGACCTGTGAACAATGAGGAAGCAAGGAAAAAGTGAAGGACAAACGTGAAGAAAAAAACAGGTCTCAGGAAATCTCCCCTCACCCAAAATCGCATGTCATCCTACGGCCTCGGATTGGAAAGCACGTGGGGAGGTCTCAGATGTTTGAAGGTATATACCCGTTTGACCGTACTTAACCCGTGTTTAAAGTTTAATCCGTAGGGGGAGATGTAGGGAGGGTAGGTTGTGTGGGTTCTGAGACGCATCGGCACAATTTTTTCAAAGACTGCCGAACATGAGTGGGGTCCTGCACAGGGTACCCGTTTTGGGTCACAGCTGCTGGCTTAATGGCGTAATATCCCCTCTCAAGGCATAGCTGAGTCGAGTTCAGAGCTGTGACCAGTTTCAGCTCTGCAGTCGAGAGAACTCAGATTCAGATCTGGAGAGTTGTGCCTGAGAAGCGAAAAAGGAAGCTTGCAGCGCAACCTTCTTGACCACGCTACGCAAACAGGCCCCGTTTTCTTCTCCTGCCACGAAGGGTTGCAATAGGTGAAACAAGACTCCTTGCATTTTGCCAGTAGCACCTGCCCACTGATAGATGCTAATTAGACTTGTTGAGAAGAATGCGAAGTGTCAGAAGCCGCAGCGTTGAGCCAAGCGCATGGTAATGAACGCTAGGGCTACGGCTTCGTCGCAGCTCTCGAGCCACTAGTAGTTTACCGTCCTCACATATGAGATCCGGACGCACTCAACTTTCGAAATCGGAATCATGGGTAGACAAAAGCCCAGATTCGAAAAGTTCGCAATCAACTTTTTGTAGGTCCTTGCGCTCTTGCCCGCTGCCATGTGCGCCGTGTGCAATACTGCATATGCACCTTCCAGCATTGCTGAAATGGGTGCCTGGCATAGGGCATGAGGCTTTCGGTAAGACCTCCGCACGATGCGGTTCGACATTGCTCGCCCCATTGCTCCAGCTTTGAATGAGGTGCTGCTAGTGGGCAGATGCAGTGAGCCTTGGCCGGAAAATTTCCTGAAAATTCCCTGGGTCTCAGACTGAAAGCAAGTAACCCGGCAAGTTAATTGCCAAGGGCACGGGCGCAGCAGATTTCAATCTTCTAAAATAGCTGGCTCATGAGAGCGCTCGTTCCAGGAGTCGCCACTTTCATAACCAGCAACCCCTCCTGAAAAAAAGAGGTGCAATACCCATCCGCCCTCACCCCTCCCCCTTCTTTCCGCAAGATTGCTATGCAGTATTGTTCTTGTTTATTTGCGATGTTCTTTGCCATTTGCTATACTCGTACCGGGCTTTGAATGCTGTTTGTCTCGAGGTAGCCGCCAAAGATGCGGCATCATGCCAAGATTTGCTCGCACTGCCGCGCGAGAGCGAGCCACCTGTCACAAGGGCACTTGGGGGGCCATTCAGGAGTGACGGGGGGGGGGGGGGGGGGGGTGGGTCCCTAAACCCTAAACCGTCCTAAACCCGAAAAAGCCACCCATCTAAACCCTCAGTCCTAAAACCCTATAAGCCCTTGGCATGGCAGGTCGACGAAGTGCATCACAGGCGACTGCAACTGCCAAATCTCAGTCGAAGAGGCACCAAAGGGGCCTCGTCACATTGAAGCAGGGTTTATACTACTGTTATTGGTGAGTGTATATGAGGCTCCCTTTGAATATTGGTGAGTGGTTTGTACCGGGTGTCCTTTTGGGGGTACGGACAGTCATGACAGTGGCAGGTAGTGTGGCAAGTGTTGAATCCAGAAGCAGATGGTTCCGCCGGCATCGAGTGTCTCGGAGCCGGTTCAGTGCTTCAAGAAGCTCAGGCAGAGCAGATGCCAACATTCCTGTTCACTGCATAGCAAGGTATCGGGCTCGCAGCCTCACGCCTGCCGTGGCTCACTGGATCGATCAGGCGATCGCCTTCCTACAAGGCCGGCACCTCCACGCTCGCATATACTACTCTCATAGCAAGTCTTGTGTGGTCCTAGTTCAGCTTCTGGGTCCCTAGATGGGTCCCTCCATGCCTACTCAAGATTGAACCGACTGTCGCCGACCATCGCAGACCGCATGGCTTGCACTTAAGGTCACGCGGTGCTGGACGCCAGCCGCTTGCTTATCAAATTTGGACGGCTCAAATGTCGAAACCACGGGGCCGATGTGCGAAAAGATGGAATTCATGGAACGCATAGGTTTCATAGGCTTTGCCTGGTGTCCTTTGCTCGAGCATTATCAGGGGGCACCAAGCCCGTTCCTTTAGTGCTTCGCTTGCTTCACGCATCTTGGTTCCACCATGGCTGCTGAGAGGGCAGCGGTCACGGAGACCTCGGAGAGCTCGGAGCAAGTCATGCCTGTCCTCCTGGGACGGGAGCATCGGGAGCATGCAATGGATTCGATGGACGATGTCGAGATGGGGAAGCTCGCAAAAGTCGAGCAACGTGTCCGAAGAGACGATCGGAAATCGACAAGCAACAGCATCGACAGCATCGACAACATCGCGGCCGTGACCACGCACTTGAAATGTTGCGAGAAGATCGTGCTTGGCATCGGTGTGGTGTGCGCTTTAGCCCAGGGAGTCTCGACTCCGGCGATTGCAATGTTCACTGCGGACAGCATCACCACGATGACAGTCGACGATGCGGACAAGGAGCACATGCTGAACCTGATGGCCCCAACCCTCATCAAGATCGCAGTGCTTGCAGCCATCCAGTTTCTGCTCGCCTTTGGTTGGCAGCTTTGCCTTGCGTGGGCTGCTGCAAGGCAAGCCAATCGTTGGCATTGCAGCTTCGTGGCCTCCATTCTGTCACTGGATGTGAGCTGGTATGATGAGCACGATCCAGCAGGAGTTGCCGCCAAACTTGAGACCGACATTGCCAACGTTTACAGCTTCATGTGTACAGGACTCGGGTACTTGATCGCAAGCATTGCCCAGCTCATCGGAGGCTTGTCTCTGGCGTTTGCCACAGGCTGGCAACTGGCTCTGGTGGTGAGTGCCACAATTCCGATGCTTATGTGTTTGGGCCACCGCTTGGGCAAGGAGATTGAGCACCAGACATTCGACCAGCAAAGGGATTTCGCGCGGGCGTCTGCTGTCGCAGAGGAGTCGCTGATGGCCATCCGTACTGTGGCGGCCTTCGGGGGCGAGAAGGCCGAGTCTGCACGCTTCGAGAAGGAGCTTGTCTCAGCTAAGTTTGGCGGCATTCGCTCAGGGGCCAAGATCGGGGCTGCCTGGGGGGGTCTGAACTTCTTCTACTCCTGCCTTTATGGCTTGTCCTTGTTCTTCGGAGGTCATGTCCTCCTGGCCAACGAGAGCTTCGGCTTTGATCCCAGCCAAATCGTGACTGTCATGATCGCCATGTTGGTCGGGGTGACCGGACTCAGCTCATTTAGCGGCTTCGCCCCGATGATGGCCAAGGCCGTCGTCTCGGCCAAGGCCATGAAGGAGGTCATCACAGCAGAGCGCGTCATCGAGCGCCCGCTCTTCACACGCGAGGCGCTCCCCGAGCAGCTGAGGACGGTTGACACCATCGAGTTTCGCAGCGTCAGCTTCCGCTACCCGACGCGCCTGGAAAAGTGGGTTTTGCAGGACTTCAGCTTCCGCGCGGAGAAGGGCCAGAAGATCGCCTTCGCGGGGGAAAGTGGCAGCGGCAAGAGCACCACGATCCAGCTGCTGGAGCGCTTCTATGACCCGTGTGGTGGCGAGGTGCTTGTGAACGGGATCCACCTCAGCCAGGTGCCGTCGGTCAAGGCATAGGCATGACTAGAACCGCTCACTTTGTGCACAGCCCACATCTTCCCATCCTGCACGAAGTCCCCGAAAATGCAAGGACAGGCCTTCTGCCTTCCGGAGGTTGCAGCTTATAGTCAGCAAGCTCTCATCTCAGGTGCCAGTCAAGGCATGGCGCAAGCTGATCGGCTACGTCGGCCAGGAGCCAGTTCTCTTTGCCACCAGCGCGATGCAAAATCTGAAGGCCGGCGACGACTCCATCAGTGATGAGCAGGCCATGGAGGCAGCCAAGGCAGCCCAAATCTACGACACCTTGATGGGCCTTCCAGAACCTTGACTCGCCTGCTTTTGTTGACCCTTCTTTGGGGCAGAGCGAAAAGGACAGTCTGGCTAGTTCTAGCTTGTTCCTTCCTTGACCTGGCGATGCTTTGAGAAGCCTAAGGACAAGTTCGACACCTTTGTGGGGTCGGGAGGTGGCCTTCTATCTGGGGGCCAGCGGCAGAGGCTTGCCATTGCACGTGCGCTCGCGAAGAACCCCCAGACCCTGTGCCGCACATTGGGTGGTCGTTTGCCTTGAGTGCGTACGTGTGTTGGGTTTGAAAGTTTGGGCTGGGTGAAGTTTGCTGTTGCTGGCATACCTTTTCTGAAGCACAAAGGATCTTGCTGCTGGATGAGGCCACCTCAGCCTTGGACAATGAGTCTGAACGCATGGTCCAAGCCACGCTGGAGTCCCTGAACACGGTCATGGGGCGCAGCATCACAACCATCTCTATTGCCCATCGGCTCACGACCATCAAGGGCTCGGACATCATCTACGTCCTGAAGGACGGACGTTGTTGTGAGCAGGGCTCCCATGATGAGCTCATGGAGAGGCAGGGCGAGTACTACAGCATGGCGAAGCTGCAGCAGGCCAAAGGTGAGGAGAACAAGGACGAGACTCGCAACGAGGTGGTTGTACCCTGTCCACAAGCAGCAAAGGCTTGGTGGGGTGGGGTGAAGACAAGTACACCCAAGACCAAGATTGCACCCTGCAGGCACCCTCAGCCTGTAAACCTTCCCAGCAACACCTCTAGCACTTTCGGTCAGGGAAGCCCGGCTTGGACCCAGAGACCCCACGCACCCCAAAGAAAATCCCCCCTGGAGGTTGGTAAGCAGCAGTCCATGAACTTCCGACGCAGCAGCTCAGCGCTGAGCTTCTTCGAGAAGGCGTTGGCCTTGGATGAGAATGGCCAGGCCGCCCCAAGCAGTCCTGTAGTCAATAGTGTGCAAAGCAGGGATGGGTGACGGTTGGTGTTTTGCATGAGTTTTCTGGGTTGGCATCCAGTCTGTGCTTCACAAAGGTTTGACATTGTGATTGGTAAACGCTCTTCTAAGGACTAGAGTACTAGAACAGGAAGCTTGCGGACGGGGTTCAGACTATTGATTCAAGAATGCATGGCAAAGCACTTCAGGCCAATGCCCCCCGAATCTGGTGCCGCCTGTTGGGCTTGATGAAGGTCTACTGGTCCCTGGGCCACGCATTGGTTCGCTTTGATTCAGTCTACTCCCGAACCCTAAACCCTAATGGGATGCGACAGCTTGGTGCATCTGCGCCGTTGAGTTCCGGAGAGTGCTTCTCCTTCAGCAAGCGCCAGAACCCCCAGCCATTCAATTAAGTAAGGGGTGGACACGAATGCCCAAAACCCTGTAAAACGATGGGAACACTTGAAAAGCGACACCCCTAGGTTAATGAACCGTTGGGTGTGCTATAGCCGTGATTTTTTCCCAAAGCGACACCTACAAACATCAAGCGTGGATGATTGATGCTAAAACCCTGTAAAACGATGGGAACACTTGAAAAGCGACACCCCTCTTGTTGCGTCCATTAGCACCTCGAGCCAGTTTTGGCAGTCGCTCTCATGTCGCCGTTGTCGTAGTGGAGGAGTAGAAGCAGGAGCCGTAGGACGTCGGCGCCGTAGATTAATAGCAGTCGTCGTCGTCGTAGCCTGGTACTGGCACTTGTCGTAGCCTGGTACTGGCACTTGTCCTAGGTCCTGGTAGCGGGGTGCGGTTGCAAACTGATGTTTTTCACTCTGAGCAGCCCCGAAAGCACACAACCGCATGGCTGGCAGAAGCCCTGTAGCTCGAGAAGGCTAGTGACGTGTGGCAACCTTATAAGATTGCTTGTAGCAACAGCACAGAGAACAGTAAGCATCGTAGTAATAACAACAAGGCAACCGTTGTTTTTTTCGATATTTCTCGAGAAACCTTGCCAGAGATTTTGGGAGGCGTTGTCCTTCCTGTATTTCAGGTGGGTCTGGCCGCTCGCCTTTCTGATCATCATCGCCGAGGCGGCTGCTATGCCGCTTGAAGCCGTGTTCTTCAACTTGGGCATCATGTCGCTCTTTGAGGGTGCTACACAGGGCCTGGAGGTTATGTATCCCAAGTTAGATCTGGCTGTCCTGAGCCTTGTGCTGGTTGGCCTGGGCTCTGGTTTGGCCGTTCTCTGCCAGAACTCGCTCTTCACTTACATTCAGGAGTCCCTGTGCATGGTCCTGCGCCAAGCAGCTTTTGCCAGCACTGTCCGCATGGACATGGCCTTCTTCGACGCGCCAGAGAACCAAACCGCAAGCATTCTGGTCTCCTTGGAAAGGCACATGAAGCCTGGTGTGGCAGTGAGGTCCTGTTTCCTTCCTTCTCTACAGTAACTACGGTAGTACTCAGCCTAGCCATCCATAGCCATCCCTGAGTTTTAAATGGGTAGGCCCTTGGGACATTTTCTATTTTCCCTTATAAACGGATGATATTCAGGGTTTATTAAGGGCCATCCTAGTTAACAAATGTAGGCTACCCCACACACCCAGGAACCGCGTTGGGCAGATGCTTGGCATCCAGCTGGGAAACTCTGCAGGGGCGATCTTCACCTGCATTTTAAGCGTGGGCTTCAGCTTCTACGGCTCCTGGGTGCTGGCACTGGTCCTGCTAGGCGGGGAGTCGAAAGTTGAAGAGAGCACGATCAGAGCAGAGATGGTCGAATTCTAGAGCCGGTGTTAGACTGCACCCCTTTATGCCCTGGGGGGGGGGCGGGGTGGATGGTAGGTTTGCTGCCCATCTGTGGCTTTCTTGGCTTGGCCATGGCCGACTGCGCTGCCCGAGTGGATCCCATGCAGGAGAGCCGCTATGCCAAGGTGGGGAAGTTGACCGGCGAGGCAGCCACCTCCATTCGCACGGTAAGGGCGCTTGGGGCAGAGGAGCACACGCTGGGTATTCTGGAAGAGTCTATGACGTATGTCTGCGACGCGAATGCCGCGAAGTCTTGGAAGTTGGGACTTTCACTCGGCCTGAACCTCATGCTGATCCAAGTGATCTATCTTACGGGCTTCTTGCTCAGCGCCATGTGCATCCAGTTCTGGAACTTCGATGCCTACGAGGTGCTGCTCACCCTGTTTTGTGTGGTGTTTGGTGTGAGTTCGGTGAGCTCCATCGTCCAGTACATCCCGGACTCGGCATCTGGACATCAGGCCGCGATGGAGGTTTTCCGGCTCATCGACCAGGTTTCCAAGATTGACGCCACGCAGCCAACGGGACGCATCGAAACCTTTGGAGACGGGTCCATCCAGTTCCGGAATCTGCAGTTCTGGTATCCTCACCGTCCCGAGGTGCAAGTTCTGACGAAGCTGAACTTCACCATCCAGAAGGGACAGTCCGTGGCTTTGGTGGGCTTCTCAGGCAGCGGCAAATCCACGATCATCCAGCTCCTGCAGCGCTTCTACGACCCCCAAGCTGGTTCCATCAGAGTAGGCGGCCACGACCTGCGTGATCTCAACGTGGCCTGGTGGCGGAAGCAGCTCGGCATCGTGGGTCAGGAGCCAGTGCTTTTCGACATGAGTCTCGAGGACAATGTGAAGTATGGCCACCCCGAAGCCACGGAGCAAGAGGTGCAGGATGCCGCTCGGGCCGCCAACATGGACTACATCTTCTCGGGCGCCGTGAAGTGGACTGACCGTGTGGGCCTGCGTGGAGAGAAGCTGTCTGGGGGCCAGAAGCAGCGCTGCGCCATCGCCCGTGCCTAGGTAGGCCCTTGAGATATTTTCTATTTCCCCTTATTTGGGCTCAAGAGGACCCTACTTGGGAATATTTTTCAGAGGGATTTTTGAGGGCCATCCTAGGCGCCCTTCTCCGAAAGCCGCAGTTCATGCTCCTGGACGAGGCGACCTCGGCCTTGGACTCGACATCCGAGCGCCTCGTCCAGCAGGCGATGCAGGAGGCCAGAGTAGGTAAGACAACCATCACGGTGGCCCACCGCCTCTCGACCATCCAGAACTCGGACAAGATTTTTGTGCTCTCCAATGGCCAGCTAGTTGAGTCGGGCACTTACCAGGAGCTTATCGCCATGGACGGCAACTTTGCGAAGTTGGCCGCGAGAAGTTTGTGATTTTGTGATTTTCGCGGCATTCCCACACCGCCCGTCACAAGTGCTCTGACAAGTACATTCGCTGTGCTTGGGATTCGGCGTCACCGAGGGCAGCTAACAGTGCCCAGCCCTCGAATCGTTAGCTTCGCCTTGCAGAAGGCAAGGCGTCAAAAGGTGAGAAGGCCTCAACTGCCTCAGTTTCGGGGTGCTGGCCACAAGAAACAGCCCCAACACATCACAAGACAACCCAAACCCTGACATGTACCGGCAATATACCCCCGGAAGCTACGTGGGGCCAAAGGCTTTGGTTGGGTCTTGTTCGTGTTGTAGATGACGCGGCAAATGAATGGCCATACCAGCTGCGGCCGATGTCCCTTACATCTTTTGAGGAAGGGTCCCTCCATGCTTTTTTATGAGCTGCAGCAATGGCTGCGCTGAGGAATTCAAGTTACACTGACCTGTAAAGATGCACAATTGCACCATGACATCGGTGTTGCATGAGACATCCTACAGCTACAAATGACAAGAGTACACCCATGGTGTCTCTCACTATGCGGCTACTGATGAGAGATGACGAGAGCAGGGGGAAGACATTTAGGTTGTGAGTTTCTGACGCAACACCGTCAGTGCGAGAAGGGACAGCAGGCAATTCGCTCACCCGAAGCGTCGAAGGCGCGACACGCGCATCAGTCTACCAGACGAAACGAGCTACTCCTGCCCGTGCTGCGCTTGCAGGAAGCTCTGTGGAGTTGTATGGTCTGCACACGAAGGCCATAGTTACCCGTGGAAGCAGCCCATTGCAACTGCAGTCCTATCATCCCGTCCTCAGCAAAACCTTCCCAAGGCTTCCGGGAGCTTTGGTCCAGCCTCAGTGGCGCCCAAGCAGAGGCCTTGGCTGAGCACTGTCCCGAGGCAGCCGAAGTCTCGAATCTTGGCTTTCAATGGGATTGGGGGTAGGGCTGAGGAAAAAACAGGCTGTAGGACCTTTAGCATTTGTGCCGCGAGGCCTTTTTTTGGTTGCAAGCGGGTTGCTGCGCCGTTGTTCTCAGCATGTCTCGGCCATGGACCACAGGAAGCGTTGTCCAACAGCCGGTGAGCTTGGCAGCTAGACGAAGAAAATCCGAAGAAAGGAACCAGTGCAAGTGATGCCAGCTCATCCCCATGTAACATGGGTGGTGGGTGCTGGCCCAGCCCACAGTTTTTTTTTGCGTTTGTGTTTCTCACACCACAACAGACAGAAACCATTGCCGGAACTTCGAGAACCTCGTGGCATGCAGAGTCGGCTTCTGGAGCCAGGCCTGGAAGTTGCACAGGATGACTGTAGGCAGCACGGACCAGCATGGAACAAGGACTACTGGAGCAGAGCTCAGGAGCCAACTCCCGGCATGTGTAGCGGGGCTCCAACAGAGTTTAGGGCCAACAGACATGCTTTGGGATTCATGGGTCCAGGGCTCGTGTCGGAGCAAGTCGATGCAGTGAGCCGTATATTCTGGCCTCGAGGTATCTGCGTTTGCCACATAGCACGACGTTTCTGAAATATGTAAGTAATGTGAGTGTGGCTGAGCCAAGGGCACTGCTCTGGAGGCTTGTCTGCACTGGCGGGAGCTACGGACGACTGCTTTCTCAGACAGAACTCGGCCCATACCAGACAGAATGCTTCGCCAGTGAGGTCCACAACCCAGGCCCTCTCGGCGTGTTACTTGGCTACAAGATGACAGTTGCCGTTTTGGTGCGCTTGTGCCCTGGAACTTGGATCGTGCAGCGCGCCTCTCCTAGCCACCGCAGTCCATCATCCACACTGGTGCTAGCAGCTAGCCGTCGATTGGTGGTGGTGCTGCCATGATGTATAATCTTCCGGTTTGCAGTTGAGGTTGGTTCGGCATGCCCCGACACACCGATGAGGCATTGTCAGGAACATATCGCGATGTTGAGAAGCCCCTTGCAGTCCACAGCAGCATGATGTGAAAGCCTGGCATAAGCCTGGTTCGGCTAGCTCCACCGAAGGCACCGTCACCCGGATCGCAGCGTTTGGAGGTTGCTTGGCGCTGCGGCCTGAGCGCCGGGCGTTTCTTTGCATACGGCCGATTTAAAGCCTTCAGATTCCGTTTTGCATGAAGAATCGAAGAGGCGAAGCCTGAACCTGTTTTGACTGGGTCCACCCGGGTTTTTTACTCACATCGCTCTCCGTAAATACACGTCGGGCCCTTGCACCTTGCAACAGGGCCCGGCTCGGCATTGATCGAGGCACCACATTTTAGCCGATGGAGCATCAACATCATCAGAGGAATCGCCTGCAATGAAGTGGCCGCATTGTTGTGATGCACTCGGGAGTGGACGTCGGACGAATCGAAGCTTCCATGATGATCAGCAGATGATGACCTGGCGTGTGAGTCTTTTTCTTCGGGTTTCACCCTTGCAGCAGCGTCACGTGGTCCCAGTGCAACGCTCGCTCGGGCATCCCCCTCAAGGTTCGATTTTTTCGAAACTGGTCTCGGTGACTGGGTTTGGCTCGTAGTACACACCCTCGAAAACAGTTGGCCAGCCGGGGTTTCGATTAACGCCATAACAACAATCCAGGGTCTGCTCGGGACTTGCAAAAATGTATGCTGAATTGATGGAGAACTGATGGAGACATGAAATGTCAGCATCCCCGCCAATTTTGGTGGATGTTGACCTCGCAGGGGCTTAGAACCAAACTTTCGTACCTTGTGATGGTGATTCTCTCTACCGATGTGTCCATGGCCAGATGTGTGTTGGCCCCCTGCTTTCGCAATTAGCTCGAACGTCCTAGGAAAATGCCCCCAAATCACCACTGCAGTAGTGCTTGTTGCATGGCACGGCTCTGGTGATCAAGCTGGATGGATGATAAGTCCTGCATGGTTGGGCCAGCCATGCTGTTCCATGCCGAGGTGCATTGCACAGCCTCTGCGACGAGCGCGAGTTCATGGAAAGACTGTCGCTTTTTGGCTCCAGCATACTGTCGATTCGTCCAGAACAGAGCCTGATTCCGTGCGCTGTGGCATCATGTGGCATCAGTACCACCGCACCATCTCAAGTGACACTTGCTTGGTTTGCTTTCAGGATATAATTCGACCGACTGTCGTCATACATTCTGGAACACCGTTGGTCGCAGCACATTTGTGAGGCCGGTTTCTCCGCAGCTTCGGGACCGGTTGGAGGCATAAGTGCATAAGCTAGAGGAGGTGCCACGCTGCCCAAACCACACGTCTGGCCACGTTGCTGAGGTTGAACTTGGTGAATGAGCACGGTGGCGGTGCATGGAGCAGGCCGGGAAGCAGAATCCCGTGTACACAGTCGAAATGACTTCATTCATCTTTCTTCTGTCTGGGAGCTAGGCAGACTAGGAGCTTACGGCCGGGGCGGTACCCTCATCAAGCGCAAGCTGCGTAAGTTGCACTCCCGAAGCCCTTTTGCAGCTGTTCACCTCGGCCTACAAGCACCCACAACGAGCAGAACTGATGCGCAACCTTAGCCGGAATTGTAGGTCGTACCTGCCGTTTGCTCTCTTCAGCGCTAGTGCGGGCTCGTCTCCGGCCAACGTGTGTTCGTTTACCGATGTTGCTGCCTTTCCTTGCTCATCCGCTCTGATTTTGCGCACTGCTCACAAGGCTCAGAAACCAAGACCTTCGACTGTGTCATGTTGATTCCTCATTCCCCCCGGGTCGAGTCCTGTTGCTCGACTTGGCTTGGGGCGTTTCGGCCATGGCTGGCGCTTCACTTGCCACTTGGGGGCATGTGCAAGGAAGTGCTCAGAGGAACGCACTCAATTTTGTCCGACCATGCTGCCTTCTCCCAAAGCAGCGAGGAGCTAGAACCGAATAGGAAATCAGATCGCCCCGTCCTTTCATTTCACCAGCTCTCATGCCAGACCATTTTGGCAGCCGCTGGCCGGCGCTCCACCCCTGGACAACGCCGCCGCTTTGTTTAGAATCAGTTACACCAACGTTGCCTCGTGGTTCCCCCGTGGGATGGGGTTGCATGTAAAGCGTTACGCATGGGTTCCTGTGTTTTCCTTTACTGGCTCTTCAGGGTCTTCCCAGCTCGTCTCCTGGCTACGGCCGGCCTCGGTGCAATTTGCTGGCGTCGGGTACATGTCTTAAAGGCCTGAAGGGCCCTTCAGGGTTCTGACTGGCAAAGGCCGCGTTTGCGTCGTCGGCCCGCGCCACTACACTGTTCCCCACGCTGGCAAGGACAGAGCTCTGGAGGTCGGAGGGTAGGGCTGGCTTCCAAAAAGTTCGAGCCGTTTGCGTACGAGTTCAGGTTTCGGGCTTCAATGGGCCTCGGTCTAGGAGCAGTATGGGCCATGGGTTCAGCATGTTACTGACCCTCTGTTGGAGAACAGATGGCATTTTCCGAAAATAGGGGGTACCTTCTTGGGGTCCTTATTACAAAGGAATCCTACTATTTGGGCACTCTCTTAGGGGGGGTACCTTGTATTTTCGTCAACCCCCCCCCATAAGAATGCCATGTCTGAGCCAGGCTTGCCTTCCTGGACTGGGCCAGCTTTGTCCAGGGCACCGAGGAGGCGGAGTGCCGCTCCCTGAAGCCGGCAAAGTGATTTGAGCGCAAGTTGCGATGATCCCAGGATACGGGGGACCTTACTCAGAGGGTCCCCCTACTCCTATCCAATAGATGACAAGAGCACGAGGAAGAGATACGGAGACTTATCGGAAGATCTCGTCACGTTGTGTGACTTTTGGAAGGCTTGGCCTGGCGGTTCCACACTGCACTGGCTGCAAGAGCCCAGCACTCATCTGGTCGAGGGATCACAAGATTGATGTGGTGGCGCGCCAACTCTTGTGGGTTGAGCTGATCGGACTGCCCACCTTCAAGTGGTGGCGAGATGATGACAGGCAGGAGGAACCTCCTCGGCCGAATATCTCCGATGGCTGGGGCCCTGCTCAAGATTCAGACTTTGCGTTTGCTCCCCAACGCTTCGTCATGATGTGGATTTTGTGGCTCTTGCTGGTGCTTTCCTGTTGCTGTAATTGTCGTTGGTGGTGGTGTCGGCGGTGGCATGGCTGTGGTTATGCTTGTATTTTCCAGTGCCACTGCTGACGCGCTCCAGGCTGTGATGCTTTGTACTACGTTGGGTTCTCTTTGGAGGCCGGCCTCTAAGAATGCGCCCAGCGATGGAAGGATGCTAGCAGGTCGGCTTTTGTCCCAAAGCTGGCCGTCCACGGTCACATTGGAACAACACTTGTTTTCAGACAACATCGTTAAAGTCATGCCATAGGAAGCCCTGCACTGGCAGGCCATACGTATATCATACATGCCTATTTATCAGTGCCTCGCAGCATACCCTCACAAGTGCTCACGAATTAAGACAGCGCGACAGGTCAATCTGGACTGGTTGGTGTTGGCAGTATCTATGTCAAGCTACCTTGGCAATCGCGGCTGGGACGGCTGCTACCTCACAGGCAAGACGGGGCGCATGTGTTTACAGTTTTCCCTGCTGCATGGCCCTGTCCAGGCTCTGTGGAGCAACTGTTGGCAGATTCCAGGCTCCCCGTGCCCAAGCCCTAAACCCTAAACCCTAAACCCTAAACCGTCTGGCCCTTAGCAGCTTAGAACGCCACGCCCCACTGCGTGCAAGCAACACGTTGCAGTTTGGAGTTCAGGCACCGCCGGAAAGCCCTGCAGAGCCAATCTCTTTGCCGGGGGGCATGCAGGGGAGAGACGAGAGGTCGTCGTATGAGAGGCTCGCAAATCGTTTCGTGGGACCGTGGGTGGGGTCTCGTGCCGAAGCCAAACGAATCGCCAAGGCCACTCTCGCATACCGCATGGGGGATATCATTCGTTCCCAAGCCATTCGTCGCCACATCAATGAGGACAACCTCCGGGCTGTGGGGTGGTCGCATGAGGCTCGCGTGGCAGCCGAGGGACTCGCGGGGGTCGGGGGGGAGAGGCGAGGGGTAGTCACGAATGATGGTCCGACGGAGGGGCCGGCCTGCTGAGCGCGCCTCGTTAGCCACGCACAAACACATACAAGCGCACCCCACGCGCGCGTGAGCGTGCACTCAGGTCCGCTTCAGTGAGTTAGACCAATAGACGCCCCCCCCCTACCTGTCCCCCTTACTTGTAACTGCCCCAGCTAGAAGTCTACGGCGCCTCGGTGCCTCCTGAGCCATGGCCTCTTGATGGGACGCGACGCTGGCCTGAGCCGGGGGCCCTGGAGCTCGCGAGTTTGGGATGTGGGGCGGGCTGCAAAGAGGTTGCAAGATGGAAGGCGTTGGGCCGCGCTGCAAGAGTGGAGACAGAGATGAGAACTCGCTTGTGAAGGCGACTGCATGACGAATACAGCTGCACGATGTTGGGGTCGCCAGGGGACGCAGAGATAGGGACCCTGTGCCTGCATGATGGCCGGAATGAAGCTTTGGCCGCCGGGCGACGCAGAGATGCTGCATGATGAATACAACTGCATGATGTTTGGTCGCCGGAAGGTGCGGAGATGGGACCCTATGTCTGCATGATGAATGCAACAGCAAGATGCTTGACCACTGGCGCGACGCAAAGATGGGAATTCACGAATTCAGAATTCGCGAATTCACTGGCGAAGGCCCTGGAGACTGCCTGTTACAAGACTGCACGCTGAGTGAAGCCTGGGTTCTGCACAAGTTCGGACTGGACAGTCCCACGCGCATGCTCTCTTCATGGACAGTGTGCACGGCCGCCGCCTGCCAAGTTGCGCCTCCTGACGCCCGGGGATGACAGAGTCAGATGCACGTCGCCGTGTGAGTGTAGCCTTGGACAGCAGTCCTGCCCGGGACATCGAGTGCTGAGAGTAGAGTGAAGTCTCACCCATATAGCCCCCTTGCCACACGTTGCTTTTCTAGGAGGAACGGCCGCTCAGGTTGTGTTATTGTGGGGACAGAGTTGATAGTTGATACCTGCTTTTCGGGAGGATCGCGGCAACCTCCGCACGTATCTTCGCTAGGTTGCAGTGTACCTAGGAGTAGTCAACCAGGCCCGATGGGGGAGGCTCGCTTTCGAGGTGGAAAGGTGATCGAGGTATATTGTTAGATATCATGGTTTGAGCCCCCCTGTTGGACACGCCAACTGGGTCAAAGAACTTGTGTTGGCCAATGGACACGTACCGGTTCGTTCTGAGTTTGTTTGGGATCGATCAGGGGTCAGCTCTTCTGCGGTAGGGCCCAGAATCGTGCACCCGATGGATGTAGGAAGAGAGTATGCTGACCCCGGTTGGTTCGTTACTGGTGGTCAATGCACCCACTCTAGAGATCTCGACAGGAGTTGCCTCGCCCGCTTGTGCCAGTGTGAGAGTCGAAACCCTAAACCCTAAACCCTAAACATCAGAAAAGCTGTGCAGGGGCACTCCTGCCGAGTTCTCCTGCATCATTCGGCAACATGCTGCCGCCCTTCGCTTCTGCGTGAGGCAGCCTGTGCCAAGGGAAGTGAGACCGTGCTGAAGGGTTAAACTTGGCTCAAAGGTTGCTTCGAAGTCCTGAGACTTTAGACTAACTTGATGAAACCTTTCAGCCTTTGACGCCCACAGCCTGGCATTCCCCGGAGAAGTCTTTTGGCGTCACCATATCAATCTTGACAGGTTACCATCTAATGTTGAAAGGCTGTGGAGAGAATCCAGGGCGGAAAGGGAGAACAAAGACCAGACTGACCAATGGCGTGAGCCCAGGGGTCTGCAGTTCACTTATGCATTGGGGCAGATGGTCCGGTGGGGTAGCTAGGCGGGTTTCGGGCCGAAGTTTTTTTCCCCTTGCCAAGTTCATGTTCGGCTTCTAAAACGGCATCGCCAATTTTGCCGTTTCCGCCATGCTCGAAGACTGAGCTTCGCATGTATCTGTTCCTGGAGACTAGAGATGCATCGTGCAGGTTTTTTCATAATCGAGATTGGCACAATTCTGCGGAACATTTCCAGCTGTGCTTGGCGCGAGCCCAGCCAGAACGAATTTCCGAGGCTCAACTTTCCCGGCTGGAAAACGACGAGGTTGACCTCAATCGAGACCTTCTGCGGGACAGATGACAAGAATATGGCAGTGCTTAAAACTTATCTGGCCACCAAAACTTCTCAATTTCGAGCCATGCTGCTGGAGAAACCAAGCTTGTCTAGACGGAACACGTGGCCCTCGACCAGCTGTTGGTGGAATCTGGTTCTGATGGATACCCAATTTGACCACAACAAAACCGGTGCAAATTCGTGCGGGTGCATGAAAGCAGGCTGTTGTTCGCGGTGTCGAAATTCCTTGATCTGATCATCCTCCGTATGATCTCAACTTCTCAACACAGACGCATCAATAACATCAGATTCCCAACTGGAGGGTTGATGTTGCAAATTGGTGAGGCACTATGCCATCTTCGAGGATGGGACAGGGATTCCACCACCTGACCCAGAGTCAATGAGGCCCTGCCATGTACACAGCTACACATCCTGCCCTGACGCGAGCTGCAGCAGACAGGTGTGGGTTTCAGATGACGTGGCTGTTGGAGAAAAAAATGAGACCCCAAAGCACGTCCATGCATAACAACTTCGAAGAGGCACTTCGAGCAGTGGGGCGGAAAGGTGTCCGAGCCCCAGCTTCCATGAGACTTACCCAGCCCGTTGAACCAAGTTATCAAGCAAGGCTAGAGCTAGGGCTCTTGGGGCTGCCAGCGTGGCTTGCAGAAGTTAGATCTGAAGGCCCCAAAGGCCTGTAGGCCTTCGGGCTGCTATGGGGTTGGGGGTTGTGAGCTGGGGCTCGGGTATCGGCCAAAGCTGGGAAAGGGACGTTAAGGGGACTGCAGGGAAGCGGAGTTTGTCAAAGGCCCCGGGAACTGCTCCGGCCGTGGCGGCCTTGCGCTGCCTTTGGGCAGCTTCGCTGCCCCGCAGGCAAAAGGGTGATAACAAGAGAGGTCTCCCCCCCAAAAAGAGGCAATGATGGTTGCCATGTATGATCATGTAGGTCTTTGATGTTGTTGGTGCATGCGCACGCCTGCAGATTGCTGGAGAAACTCCAGCATTCTGAAGCAAACTGGTCCGTTTTCGGAGGCTCTCGTGAACTGCACCTCGCCCGCAAATGGAGTTTGAGGCCGCTGGTCGCGCCCCTGACTAGACCGTGCTGCCATTCTGAGTTTGGTATAGGCTCATCTGCGGCTGCAGGCGTCTCTAGGATGAAGGAGGCTGTAGGCGGATGCCTTTCATGAAGGCGCTGGGTGCATCTTCAAGCCTTTCAAGCCTGAAGCTTCGACCCTGCGACCCTTTGACAAAACCGCAACTTGAGGACCTCCTCAATATGCTAAGAGAGCCCTTAAATGTTGAACGCCTGGTTTCGGCACCCTGGATCTGAGGCTGCGTGCTTGGGATGGAGGCCGGCTTCCAGGAGAGGGCGCAGGGTGTGGGGGGTTGCTGAGTTGCGGGCTCATGGAAGTGAAGGTTGGGGGTGACGCTTGTTCGTTCGTCGCTCCTTCGAGTGTCACCGGTACAATAATGTCCTGCTTGGGAAGCTCTTCGGCTCGGCGCCGCATTTTGGCCCAAACAGGCCGCAGGGCCTGTAAATCCAGGCGGCCGTGCCTCGGGTGCCGCTGACAACTCGTTCTATCTCACAAGTATTCACATTACTTTCTGTCCAAAGCTCATATGGTACTGCACGCTGACCGTCGCTTCCAGCCAGCCACCCGACCCTCAGCCCGCAAGGCACAACTCGCCAACAAAGCTTTGCCTAGAGGCCTTCGCCGAAAGAAAGCGTAGCGTGCCATGGACCTTGCGTGAACAAAAAGATAGCAGCCATGAGCATCCCGGCCGCAAGAGTAGACCAAGTAGGGGCGTGATGAGGCGTGATGCTGACGCTTTGGCCTGGCTCCAGCTTACGCTTCAGGTTTAGTTGTCGGACATGTAGGAGCTTAGGGCCATGGACAGCGGCACCCACTTCCACAAAATCAGACCGTTCACAAGTTCACAGTATTCGGATTGCAGATGCGAGCGTTAAAGAGCGGAGAACCATGGACGATAGCGCAAGTTTCTGCCCTTACATAAGCAAGCCCGAATGAGCATGACATGCAACATGTCTTTTGTTTGAGAAGAAAGTGCTGCGGCCGCATCTTCCCGGCATGCTTTTGCAAGAGCAGCCGTTGCTGCTCCGGCCAACACAGCTGCTGCCGCCTGATCCCAGTGACTCAGGCCGCATTGCGCGCAGGACTTACAAGCCGAATGGCCCCACGTTTGAAAAATCACAGGCGGCCCCATCAGGAGGGAAGCTGCGCCAATTTCAAGACATTCGTGATGCCAGGGATTGGGCAGGCTTGGAGCCTGAAGCCTGGGAAGCTGTTTGCGAGCAGTGCGGTGGGTTTGCCGATCTGTGGCAGGTTGCCCAAGTCTCGCCTGAACAGCTCAGAAAGGCCGTCATCTCTGCCCGCATTGCCCGGTTGGATCAGCAGGGACGGCCTGCAGCTGTGGCGGCACTCCACGGCTCTGCGCCCCTTCCATCTTCCCGGGCGCTGTGCCCCGCAGAGGCAGCCCAAGTTGGGCTGATCTGGAGGGTCGCGCGGGCTGTGGCCGACCATGGCAACGGCTCGATGCCGATTGACGAAAGCCTGCCGGCTGAGCCACACCCACGCGTCCAAATCGAAGATGCGCAGTGGTATGAGGTCGCTTATGACAAGGTCTTCATCAAGAAGGCGCCCCAGCAGGATGCGCGATCCTGGGGCTGGGTCCACCGAGGGCAGAAGATCCAGGTGTCGCCGAGAACTGTGCCAGACGCGAATGGCCGAGAGTGGGTGGAGCTGACCTTCATGCAGTGTCTGGGCATGTCTGGGAACAATGCATTTTCGCAACTCTTGTGCGGCTTCTGGGTTCTGAGGATTTCTGAGGCGGCTTCCTCTCTTTCTCGCTCTCTCTGAGGCTGGCCCGATCCTGCCCCGAGCGTCTCTCAAGCGATGACCCGCTTGGGCGCGGTTTCGCCATGCTCCTTGGCCTTCGTGAAATTATTTAGGGTTTCGGGTTTAGGGTTTAGGGTGGTGTTCGGGGTGTGGCCTGGGGAGGAGAAGGGGCACTCTGCAAGTACGTTGACGCGGCACCTGGCAGACTTGGTGCACCATGATCAATCGAGCCAGCGAACGTCTCATCATTGCTAGGCTGTGGGTGCAGATGCGCAGAAGAAAGTATGAGGGATCTGGAGACGTTTGAGCATATACACCTCCATCAAATATCGCTCCTCCAAAACGGCTGCCTTTCACATAGCCGCTCTTTGCACGACAGCGTCCCTATTGTTGAAGTACTTTCCATGTTCTACCGCCGCTACTGGACTCAATTCGTGCAGACTACAACACTACTTCTTGCACGTGGTTTTGGGATGCATTAGGAACAGCGTGAAAGGAGTGTTACGCTTGCGCGCAGTATCACACCCCAATGGGGGGGCCTGTGCGTGTAGACCGCTTTCGTTAGGCTTCACTTTGCGTGAGGGGCCCGCAAAAACCTCAGAGCCAAGTGATAAACTCAATTGGACTTCACCTGACTTCACTTTGTAAATCCACCTAATCATGGCAGCTGTGCGGACAGTCTTCTGCATGATGACATACATGCCGCCGTTACTGCGAGCCAGTAGAGGATCGACGGCCAGCATTTGGGCCTTGGCCGGTTGCTGTCGGGGCCGTTGCCCAACAAGGCAGGCAAGGGTGATTGCAGCATGTGGGTTGCAGGCCGAAGGAGTCAAGGTGTTGAAGGTTTGCGGTTCTGTTGGGTTTGCTTTCCCCGCGCGGCTTGACCCTCCGGCATGCCTAGATGACGTCATTCGAGAATCACGGCGTCTGGTTCATCAGGTTCTTACATGTAGAAGTTCACTTCAGGTTCCTACATGTAGACATTCCCTTTTGCACGGGACCCCCCCGCCCAAGCAGGAATTACTAGCAGGGTAGATGTTTTATGTGGTGGAACTCAAACTCAGTGTGTCCTTTGGAGGAGTGGCCTTCGGGGGTGGAAGACGCACAGAGCACACTGGAGGAGATGGGGATTCACAAGGTTCTTTTTGTTACGCGGCGTCTGTGAGTGTGTTTTGTTCTAGTTCATGGGCGAAAGGGGGGCACTTCCCCTCACAACGGTGAGAAAGGGGGGGGGGAGGGGGGGGGGGGGGGGGGGCCACGTTCATCATCTTCTACTCGTATCATCTTGGAGAGCGGGCATTTCGCAAAGATGAGGTTCTCCTTTTCATTGAGGGCGCTCAGCAACGCACCTGCTAGGTTGAAGACAACGGTGATGGAGGATTGCGGGCGGGCGCGCGCGCGCGCACGCGTGCGTGTGTGTGTGAGAGAGAGAGAGAGTGAGATGAGGGGCACCACATTCCTGTGATACATTTGGCGGGCCGCGAAAACCGCGGACCTTCCGATCAGACGGACCCTTGGACGTCGCGCGCCCCTCGGGGCGGCCTTCCCTTCGGGGGGGGCTATGCGTGCAGGAGAGAGAGAGAGAGAGAGAGAGAGAGAGAGAGAGAGAGAGAGAGAGAGTGAGAGCCTTTTGAGAGAGAGTGAGAGAGCCTTTTGAGAGCCTTGCAGGAGCGAGTGGTCCTGCGCCGTTTGAGTGGCGAGCGCTTGCACTTCCAGGCCTCAAGTCCTCTTTGAGTCGACGCTGCTACGATGCTTTCCTACCCCCAGTGTCCACGCTGTTTGCAGCCTTTTCATCGTGATTCCGTGCCTTTCGAATTGTAGTTGAAGCCCGGGGACTTCGTGGCTTCGCTCTGCTTCCGTGCGGCCGAAGCCGCTTGGGGAGCAGGATTAGATTGGTTGTGATGGCTGATACTACTGGATAACTTTTTGATACTTATGCCCTCTTGCAAGAAGCAGGTCTTGCAGGCGCCGGCTGCGCGCATCCGTCTTATACTAGATGGAGAAGTGCTGTGGCTCGGCAACCGCTGGTGTCTACACCGATGAACTGCCCACTCATACCCACCAAGCAGACCAAGCATGATGTCTTTCGGGAAGTGCCCAGGCAAGAGGATTCCCTGGCAGCTTCATTGGCTGGGAAGGAGGTGGATGTGGTTGTGATCCCTCCCTCGCCACGAGCCATCACAGGCCAGCCCAAACGAGCCTTTGCACAACGCCTTGGGCACAAATCACGCAAAGAAAGGCAACTGAACTGTCTCGGCACTAAATGCGAATGCGTGAGAGGAAGGGGGGAGATGCCCTGAAGGTTGTGAAGACGGCTCCGTGAAGTTCTGGGATCTCCAAGCCCGGACCTGCCTCGCCACCCTCACCGGGCATCGTGGTGCAGCCGCTTCGCTTCACAAAGGGCTTGGGCTTCGAGGAAGGGGAACCGCTTTCACGGCTTCGCGTTGAAGCTTCCAGGGTGCCAAGACAGTAAGAAAGAGTTGAACTGCAGCCAAGACATTGGGGGCGCAAGTCCGGGTGCAAGAAAATGATTAGGAATGGGTGTGCGGGAGCCTGTTGGGAAATATACGGAGCACTTGACGCGTCTGCAAACTCAAAGCAAGCTGCACTCCAGGTTTGGTCTGTGGACGCCGACATAGCTGCCAGGCGCCGGCCGGAAAGCCTGGAGGGGCACCATGTCACACTTCCCCAGATCAATCACAGTTCGTCCGAGCCCGGTTGAGTGAGAGGGCTTGAAGAAGCTTTCAGTCTCTGGCACGGGCTTTCGGAAGGTTGGCCTTGTCTGGTTCAGCGGATGGCTCGCTGATGCTTTGGGACCTCGAGCGGGAGGCCAGGTTTGCTTAGCTTCGAGCAGGTGGCATGTTTGGGGAGTCCCTGGATTGCTCCGACTTGCCATAGCCGTACAATGGCTGTGCACAGAAGCTCCTTTGTGTGTGTGTGTGTGCGTGTGTGAGTGTGTGTGTGTGTGTGTGGGTTTGCTTTGCTGTTGGCGCCGGTCCTTCTCCCTGACGCTGGCGGAAGCCTGGTCCCCTTGGTAGAAATGGGCTTCACCCCGGTGGTATTGTCATACTCATGACACTTTTTAATGCTTCTTGAACCCGGGGTTGCGGTAATTTACCAGCGTTTGGAGGTTGTGAACTGCCAGAAATACAGCCAACCCGAGAGGAAACAACCTCCGCCCTGAGCACGCTTCCACACAAGAGATCTCAATGCCCAGGAGTGCTTGCGCAGCTTTGAAGGCACGGTCGCATCGCATAGCACATGCTATTTTGAATGACTTCCAGCTGGTTCCACAGAATCTCCGCGTTAAATTCCGTGAGCCGCCTGAGGCTCAAGCCGACTTAGGCCCCATATCCTAACCTTACTCCTGCACATTTTGGACATGTCAGTGTTGGTGCTGCAGATATCCTCGGTTCTCCTTGGCCTGGGGGCCGTGGCACAGCAGAGCGGCTTCAACACATGTGGCACAGATGCATGCCGTGGCACAGACTTCGTGGGTGGACGG